CGCCGTAATATTTGCATAAGTTTACAAATCGTAAATCTTACGCAATACTTCGCATTAAAAATATTCCTGATGTAATATTATATCTTTAATATCAAATCAGAATTATATTAGATCATTAATTAAATTTAGAAAATTTTATGCTAATTGTTTCTTTTTCAATATGTAACATTAAAAAAGGATTATTTAAAAGATAAGATTTGTATATATCTTTAAAATTCATAAAAATATAAGATATTTAATACAAAATAATAATTTGAATAACTTAAAAAAGCTTAATAAAAGTTTAAAAATACCTATAAAAATAAAAAATAATTAAAGCTAAATATGTAAAAAAGTATTTTTTTTTAAAAATATTATTGATAATTTATAATAATTAAAATTACGTAAAATTTATTAGTTATATAATATTGATGAAATAAATATCAATAGTAGATTAAAATAAATTTTTAAATTAAATTATTTAATATTTTAAACTAATTTTAATTAATAAAAATTTATAGTTGATTAATTATTTAAATTTTTTTAATAAAAAAATAAAATAAAATTTTTTAATTATCTTTAAAAATAATAAAAAATAATAAAATTGTTAAATCAATGATTTATAATTAAATTTATTATGATTATTTATTAATAAATTCAATTTTAAATTTTGATTATATATTAATTAATTAAGTAAATTTTATGATTAAAACTTAAATAAACAAAAAAAAAATTAATTATATTATATAATAAATAATTAATCATTTATTAATAAAAATTTTTATTATATATAAATATTATATTAGTTATATAAAAAGTAAATTTTATTCTTAATTAATCATAAATTTATCAAAATAATTTAAATAAAAAATTTTAAAATATCAAGTTTTTGTATAAATAATCTAATAATAAAAAAATTATTTATTTATATAATATAATATTATATATATAAGTAAAAATTATTTAAAATATTAACTATAAGGAGAAGTGGTTAATTTCTTATTTGCAACAAGAAAACAGAATTCAAAAAAAACACTTTTTGTAAAAATAGTGATCATTTAACATAAGCAGAGTGTCATCTCTACAAGAAATGTTTGGTTGAATTCTATTTTCTTACTGTAAATGGAAAATTAATTTCTTCCTTCTGTAGTTTTTATTTTTTAATTAAATTAATAAATTAATAAATTATATTTTTATATTTAAAATTTTTTACATAAATTAAATAATATATAACTTATAAATTTTTTAGTAAAGTAAATTTAGATTTTAACATTTAATTTAAAAAATTTTTTTTTTTTAAACTATAGCAAAACACTCTTATTTAATTTTTTTTATTAATAAATATAATATATTTTATATTTAATACCTTTAATATTTTGATATTTTAAATTAATTTAATTTAAAAATAAAAACAATTAAAACAATTTATTGTTAAAGTATTTATTATTCAATTATTAAAATTTATAATTTATTTTTTATCAAACCAAATATTAGTAATTTTAAATTTTTATAAAAATTATTATTAAAATGTTAGTTAATATTCAAATAAAGAACTAAACTATAAAATCTAAATTAATCTACTTTAAATGTTAAATATTACAGAAATTTTAATTTTCCTCCAAACCTTTTTTTATTTACACCAATGTTACATTAGAACATAGACCAAAAATATTTCTTAATTGTTTCTTTTAATAATAACAAAATAAATAAAGGAACTTGATTCATAAATATTATATGTAAATTATCTAGTCATTTATTCATCATCAGCAGTAATGTCACCATACTCAAACATTCCCGCCTAAATTAAAAAAAAATCAAAAAATAATTCCAAATAATCAAAAACGAGAAATTATTGAATGTAAAATATGTTACAACTTACTCTATCTTTCTTAGCTTGTTCTTGGGCTTCAAGTAATTTTGTTACAACTGCAGGATTGCTTTTATATAATATAGAATGTTTATCAACCGTTGCGTATCCGGCTTTAATCATTTCTATATTAATCGAAGCTTCTGTAGATTGAGATTGTTTTGGATTATAAAGTGTAAGATGAAGCAAATTGTTGTCTTTATAATCAACGTTGGCTACGAGTTTACTATCTCCAACTATATCTTTAAAATGCTCTCGCGCTTCTTCTCCGTAATCATCCTATAATGAAAAAAAAGGCAATCAATAAAAAATTAACATTCTCATTATTAAGGAAAATTAATTTACCTCTAGATTACGAATTTTCAAAAACGAAAGCACGGCTTCTTTAGATTGAAACGGCAATTGTTTAAACTTATCAGGAAGTGGACGAACTCGAGTTAATGGAATTACTTCAGACTATATAAATTTTAAAAACATTAATAAATTTATCATATTCTTATTCAAAAAAAATTAATATTAAATACCAGAAATTACTTACATTTCCGTAATCAATATAAATTACTTCGACACTTTTTGATTCCGGAATGACTCTTCTTATTTTCGCACGGTACCTATTAACCAAAAAATGTGGTTAATAAAAAAAAAGTTTAGCAAACAAATAAATTTTAATATTCTTTATATGTACCATTGGTCATCTCCAGTAAATTGAGCACTAACCATCTCATGGTTTTTTGGAGAAAATATTGCCGAAATCGCATCATTTTTATGATATAAAGAAAATTCCGACATCATTTTCTCTAATTTATGAATGTCTTCGTTAATTATTTGTACGTAAAATCTTCCTCCCGAAATAATTTCTGATATAATGATGTCTATATATTCTTTACGCGGTTCCACTTCTATTGTGGTTTCTTGCTCTTTAAAGGATTCAGTATCTTGTATTGACCATATCTAATGCAAAGTGCGAATTTAGCTGAGGAAATAAAGACAAATAAATTTGTAAGATAATCTATGATGATTGCTTACATTTTTCTTCGCTTCTTTGGCACTTTTTTCAGCAGTATACAATTGTTGTGAATAAGGACTCTGACTTGCACTATATTCATGAATAGTGGCAAATCCCTCTTGCAATAAAATTACCGCAAAATTTTCATTTTTAATCCACATCGTTCCGATAAATCCTCCGGTTTTATCAACATTCTCAACTTCAATTTCTACATCCCGTTGAAATGCTTTACGATTAGCAAATTCCGATGCTTCAGCAGCAAATGGATCAGATTTATCTGAAGGATTGCGCGCAAGTTTTGGTGCACGTACTCCTCCAAGCACAAATGTCAGTTTGTAACCTTCTTTTGGAATATAAATTTTAAATCTTGATGCATTTGCTACATAATCCACTACACCAACAACTCGACCAGCTCTTTTCAACGTTTGTAAAAATTGTTTAGCTTTTGATGGAGTCTATAAATATATACATAATTTAATTATAATCCATTTAAATTTAAAATTTACATAACATAATGACAAACCTCAGAAGCATCACTAATTCTGTAAACTGGAGGATCCTTAGGGCTATGTACACCCTTGGTATTGGTTTGTGCTCTGAAATATTGAATTCGTGTTGACATAATATTTTAAAAGAAAATAACAAAATAAATAAATTTATACTTTTGTTCTGCAATCAAAAGTTGGTCATAAAAACTTGATCGATCTTCATCGTCTTTTTTATGACGTATAATGTGAGCATAACCACGTTCAAGTAAGGCCTCTGCTGCGTTCCTAAGTAAAATGAAAAAAAAATTAATTTCACATTTTCATGGTAAAAAAGAGAAATTATCAAAGCAGACGTCATATTTAATGTTTACCATTCTCCAAGTTTAATGGTCGCGCATTCTCTCGCTTCATACCCTTCTGTCGCAGGTTTATTATAGTCGATAGTTACTTTAACCTTTTATACATGAAATGGAAGTCAAGGAATATTTATTATTTGAAGTTCATAATATATATATTTATATAGATAGATAGATACATATATATATATATATATCATTAACTTACAGTTTTACCGATTAACTTCTTCCGCAAAAATTCTCTTGATTCAAAATTATATTCTGGAAATTTTGGATCTTTTGGCCTATTATAAATGAAAGTAAAGTCCGTAAATAAATAATATAAATAATGAAAATTAACAAAATTCACGTACTTTGGTTGACGAATACTCGATAGTTGCAATTTCTTCTCTACTCCAGTTAGATTATGCCTTACTTGAATAGTATCACCAGAGATTATACGTGTTACCTAAATAATTTAATGAACTTCTTTCTTAATCACTCAATTAAGTAGCTCCTATTTCAATTTTTTCTACATACTGTGCCTTCAAATTCATGGTCATCTCCACCAGCTCTGGTCCTTACAACATGATCTTTCCAAAGTCGAAGTTGCTTTTCTTTAGCAATTCTAAAGAATGAAAATAATTAATATTATTACATGAAAAAATGGATATTAAAATAAAATAAATAACATACTTTTCAGCTGCGCGTAATTTAGTAGGTCCATCAGTGACTAAAGTGATATTCCAATCAGCCACTCTAGCTAATCCAGCCGATAATAAAAATTCCGCTATATTACCATTAGTATGTAAAATCGTAGCATAAAAGGTCTGGTTGTTCATAGATAAACCTTCCAGTATCACCTTAACGTTTTGTTGCAGTAATCTAGTTTCCACGAAATATTTAGCTTCTTCGCCAAATGGTTCAATCAAATCTTCAACGTCTGGTACATCTCTACGAACAGTTGGAGCTTTTATTCCAGAAATGCTTATACTTAGATATTGTTGTGGCGCAGGGAAAGGAGGCATGAATAAAACGCGCAAACTTGATCCATCTCGAACTTGTTCAATAATACCTATTTGAAACAAAGTTGATATAAGCAATTGAAATAAGCTCGCGTAGCATTTACAAACACTTACCTTCAACAGGTAATCCTTTATATCTATTCAAATATTCACGGGAATCTTCTTGCAAAGTGTAATTAACAACGCGCGAATACTGCAAATAAAATATCATGTGATAAGAAATATATGTTAATGATGGACAAAGCAATTTAAAACCATTTGCTAAATTGATAAAGAACCTCTTTATTCTCCCAGACACCTTTACCAGCAGATTGCGCCGCAGATTCCAAAGCAGCCAACGCCTCAAAATCCTTATCTTCTTCTTTGTTCTTTTTACCATCATCTCGAAGTTTCGCCCACCCTTCTTTGACTACCATTTGGGCAACATTATCGGTACCTAAAAATACGGTTCCATATTCTCTTCCGGTGTTCGGAATAGTATAATCCACGCGAAATGTGACTTCTTTACCAACTAATATGGGACGAAGATATTCACGAGCTTCAAAAGCGAAAGGCTATAAGAAATCACGTGGAATTTTTTTTTTGAAAAAAAAAGTCTCAGTCGTTCATTCATCTAAAGTTTGAACTCCAAATATCGCTGATTTTAACATCTATGCCCTATCAGCAAATCAAAATTTTATCCGATGATTTAAATTACCTCATCCTCTTTTTTTTGATTTCCAAGTCTTGGAGCTTGAATAAGGGCCAAGTTCAAATGTCTTTCGAGAGGAGGTTGGTTACCAGTAGGTTTTCCGCGAAGGATTAACGTATCGCCAGAAAGAACACACTTAACAATAGCTCTTTGATTTGCCATAATTTAAATATTTAAACAACTCGGAGAAAAAATCGGAGAAAAATGAGAAATTTTTACAAAAAAAATTTTTTGCAGATGCAACGACTATTTTATCTTTTGATGTTGTACTACAATGTTGCGCGAATAAGAATTTGACATTTTTTAAAGGTTCATTCGACAACATCTTTGGCTGCGCTGCATTCATCACTTGTTATTTTTGAATTGAATGCACAACATGATTATCAACATTATCTAACCCTAAATTAGTCAAGATAAAGAGTAATAACAATTAATTATATTTATTCGTTTTAATTTTAGATATCTAATAAAACTTTCTTTTTTTCCTATATTTATTCACCCTTATTTTCTAATAATGCGTTCAAAAACCTCAGAACGTGGATCTATAAATAATGCATCACAAGTTAATTGTCCACATATTAATAGAATTACAAAAAAAGGTTCACCAGTATTTAAAATCGAAACTTCCTCATTTAAGGTTCATTTAATTTTCTATCGAATCTACTATACAGTTTAGATCTTTATCATAGTTAATCCAAAACGTGTTTTTTAATAAATATAGAAGCATGTGGCTAATGCTTCCCTTCGCTGTGATACCTGCGAGTCTCGAATACCCAAACTATGGGTTTGTTTACACGTATGTTTTTTCATAGTAATGCTTAAACTTTGTAACAAATTATGTAATCTAAATGATATTTTTATTTATAGAACCGGTGTCGTGCAGTTGTTTGTTGTAGTAATTCGAAATATCATATGCGCAATCATTTCGAAATTTTACATAAAGTATGAGTAATATTTTCTCGAAAATTTTACCAATTCATTGATTTCACTAGAATATTTACGTTTTCAATGTTGATAGGAAAATCGTGATGACGCATGTCATTCAGTTTATGTTAATCCGCGTACACTTACAATATGGTGTATTGCTTGTAGTTCCGAGCTGAATCCATTCGAAGATAATAATTTAAATTCGGAAGCACGTATTTATTTAAAAACTGTCATAAGATGCCTGGTAACTATTTTTGTATTCTTATCTGAGTTAAGTCAATTACACATATTAATATTTTATTTATTTTATTAATTAATGTCTTATTTGTCAGTAGCAAGGGAAACGAAACAAGTCACAACAAGCGGTGGATCAATCAACAATAGATGTCCCAGGTAGCTCATATTATTTAACTAATTACGCGGATGATTAATTTCACAATAACCATAATTTAAAACGTTCGTATATAGGTCTCGTCGGTTTGAAGAATTTGGGAATTACTTGTTATGCAAGGTGAGCGAAAGTTTTTGTTCGATTAATTCAATTTACACGCAATTTACGTTCTCAATCTTTTTTTTTTTTAAATAAAAGCGCAGCCCTACAATGTTTATCCAATACGTATGTACATTTCCCATTATTAAATCTATTATGATTAACCATAAATACATGTGCATTAAATATATATATATATTATATTTATTTTAGGCCTGCATTAACAAATTTTTTTAATTATTGTGATGCATATATACCACATCTTCCACACAACTTTGAACATCCTCATTATAAATTAGCAGAAACTTTTAACAATTTTATGAAAGCAATGTGGAGTGGTAAAAGGTGATTAATTATTGTAACTTTTTGAAAATGCAAATAATAATAATAAGAAATAATATATATATATATATTTGTATTCCAAATTCCTAATAATTTTTTTAGCGCAATTTTCTCGCCAATTCAATTGATAAACGAAATAAAAAAACACAATTTAGTATTTCAAGAACGTGGGCAACAAGTGTGTAAAAATAATTATTATTCTTTCATTTAATTTTCATAATTCTCATTGGTATACATTCTTTATAGGATTCTGTGGAATTTTTTCGATGTGTCTTAGATAGGCTTCATGAAGAACTTCCATACCCGCAATCTATGTCCGTTAAATTATCTAATGAAGAAATCTTTTGTGCATATATGAATCCGTTAAAATCAGCAAGTTTTAATTCAGATAATATGGATGATAGTAGTTATGTATGTGGAACTACCTCGGCTTTATCAACGGCAACGAGTACTTCTACAGGCACAATTCAAAAACGTCAATTTACGCATACAAGCGTAATCAGTAACATTTTCCAGGGACTTCTTGAAAGTCGAATCAAATGTTTGCATTGTAAAAAGGTGATTTACAATACATATTTTTACAAATGAGATTTGGATAATTAGTATGATGGTTAGAAATATATTAATTTCATCTATTAATAAAGTTCTTTCATTTTAGAATTATTTGAAAGAAGATCATTTTTACGATTTATCGATTCAAATTGACAAAAAATTCAAATTAAGATCACCAGAAAAAAATGCAGAGTCTACATCTAGTTCAGTTATGGGCTCTCTAGTAGGATTATTTGGGTGTGTTACATATACAAAAACCTTTTATTAAGAAATTTTTAAATTGTAAATTATAATTTACATCTTATATTTATATTTCAAACTAGAATGAATAACAGAGCTGTTAGGCTTCAAGATTGCCTATCTTCGTTTTGCGCAACTGAGAAGTTGACTGGCGTGGATAGATATGAATGTGATAAATGCAAATCTTTAACGGACTGTCAAAAAACATTGAGGATTACGCAGTTGCCAGAGGTTGATATTTTTGATTTCGATCTATTAATTTTATCCTTGTTATTTGATTTCATGTAAATCTTATTATTTGTATCTTCGTAGACTTTGTGTATACAACTCAAGAGATATCGATTCGATTCTTATTCTTATTTTTCATCAAAAATCGCAACACATGTTCAATTTCCGATGGAAGATTTGGACATGAAGCCATATTCTAGCGAAAAAAGAAATTCTGATCTAGATAATCAAGATACGTTAAATATAACCAAGTATGATTTATATGGTTTAATACATCATCGCGGTGTATTGGGAGGTAAAATCATAATTTTCTGTATTATTTCTTTAAGGAATAAACTTAACTTTTCCTTTTTGGATTTAGCTGGTCATTATATCGCCTACGTAAAAAATCCAATAGATGGTAATTGGTATGAATATGATGATACTGTACGTTTATGAATTCATTATAATGTGTACATATTTTCATCATCATAAGTTTATTAATGAAGAATGAATTTTAAATATTAGTATGTTACCAAAAAATCCGCAGCAGATATATCTCGTTTGGAAGCATATGCTTTGTTTTATCAGAAGAAAAGTCCAGAGAAGGATCAAGAACGTAAAGAAATATTAGCTAGAATTTACAAAGATGTAGGGACGAAATATTAAAAAATAAAATTTTTTATTTCCGTGCCTTTAATGACTAATATATCTATTTTAATAGTCTGGTGTCGAAATTCCTTATTTCATTTCACGACTATGGTTTAACAGATGGCAATTTACGACGACGGTAATTTATTACTAAATCAAATATTTTATTACACATTATTTTTATTTCATCTAATTAACTTTTTCTTTGAATATCAGCCTGGTCCTTTAACTAATTATGACTTTCTTTGTAAACATGGAAGTTCGTGTTTTATCAAATCAATTGATTGTTAATTTTATTAAAGAATATTTTTTCTTCAGACTCAAACTGATGTGTATTAACTGAATTTAGGTATAAATCTAAAGCGATACCCTAAAATACGAAATATGGTGGTTAAAGTACCATATAGCGTTTATACAACACTTGTTTATAAATATGGCTCAGACGGCAGTCCTCCATATTTTTCAACTGATCACGGAATATTGGGATGTGTTATTTGTGAGGTATATTACGGTTTTTTTAATAGGATTGAAACTTATATAAACCCTCAACTTTTCAAATGATTAATTTTGGGTTTTTAATAATGAACCAGAAAGAAGAAAAAATGTTGGAACAAAGACGTCAGAAAGAGTCTCTTGACATTGGAATGATTGATACCAATACGATAAAGCGTGGCGAATATTGGTTTTTAATAAGTTCTAAATGGCTTTCAAGTTGGCATAATTTTAAGTCCGGAGGTAAAAATTAATTTATTATTTTTGTTGTTAATGCTATTCATGTGATCAATCAAATAAGGGAAATTATGTGATGTATACCATCTAGGACCTCCGCCCGGACCTATAAATAATTATTCTTTTCTTCAAGAAGATGGAAGCCCAAAGCCCAGAATGAAGAGAGGTTAATTTATAAAATATCTATTTATTATGGAGGTTAATGTTATGCTAAAATTGCATTTTTACCATAGGTGATGATTACAGAGGAGTGAATGAAAGAGTCTGGAGCTACTTTGAACATTCATATGGGGGAGGTCCAATATGCGTTAGAAGTAGGAATTATTTATAAAGTAATTTAAATGACAAGTTTTTTAATGATTATACTAATATTTGAATCTTTTTTTTTTTTTTTAAAAAAAAAAAAAATAAATAAATAAAATAAAAAATGATTTTTTGCGAATTATTTTAGCGACTATTGATCTATATGCACCAAATCCATTATCTTGGGAGAATACGAAATATGGAAATCATATGAGATGTTAAATGGAAAAAATCCCCTTAAGTAATATTTTATTTCTTATTGTATAAAATAATGTAGTAAAATATAATAACTGTAAAATATAATAAATAATTTAAACTAATCATAGCATCAATTTGAGAGATGTGGTAGATATCAAAAAAGATTTCTATACGTTTTAAATTTTCTGATTATTCTCTTACGACTTTTTTGTTATTTATTTCCATAAAAAAAATAATAATTAAAATACATATATATATCTTTTTTTAAGATATTATATGTATATATTATATTTCAGTAAAATTTACATTTTTTTTTTTGTGAATTTTTAGGGAATTTGCATCTACTATTATTACTCGAATCAAAGTTTTTAATACCAAAAAAAAAGATCATAAGTCAAAAACTCTTGCTTTAATCCGTTGATAATAAATCTTTTTAATTTTAGAATTTTAAATCAAAAATGAGAGCTGTATTATTTATTTACATAATATAAAGTAGAATGTCTCAAAAGGAATATTGTAGTTTAATACATAAGGACGGTGATATCTAGCAATATTTTTTATAATTATTTATAAAAATTATAAAATATCAAATTTAATATATTATTAGTAATAAAATTCAAAAAAAAAAAAAATTATTAAATTCATTATTATAAGCTATTTCTTGTTCTTTATATCTATCTCTTTCATTACTACTTTGATTTTCTTCTTAATCATCAATATAAATTGATTGTTTAGTTTGCTTTTTATTTTTATTTTGCATCTATTATAATCAAATACTGAATCATCTTTATTACAGTTTCTAGTAGTAAAAATATCACAATATTTAACCCATTGTTTAATCAAATTAATAATATTATTATTATATGATCTTTTATTCAACTAGTAATTCTAGCAAATAAAGGTTTATGATTTTCCAAAAGATATTAATTCACAGACTTTAAAATTCATCTGTTTATTTATAAGTCTACTATAAATAACTGAAATATTTGTTTTTTATTAAATTTTTCTTTCTTTCTCTCTCTTTATATATTTTTACTGAATTTATAACATATTTATAAATAGAATCTAAACTAATAAAGATTTTAGATTACTTAATAAATTTTTTCAAATTTATATATTTTTAATCTACAAAAATATTTTTTTATTTATTATACTATTTTTTGAATAAATATTTCTTTAGAAAATAATTCTTTTAAAATATTTTTAAGTTTGAAAATACAAACTGCTGATAATTTAATATTATTAGTTATGCATATTAAAATAATGTAAAATTTTTTTTTTCATAATCTATATATATTAATATAATAATTAAGTTTTATAATCATCTAAAATAGTAAATCATATATAAGAATATTACCAATATATTTTAATATATAATTATATTAAATATGTCTATACAAAATAAAAATTAAAGTTTGTTATTTTTTTAAAAAGTTGTTAAGTAATATAAATTCTTCTTCTTATAATAAAATTATTTTTTTTATAATCATAATTCTAATCTTTAATATTTACATAAAACCTATTTTTTTAAAACAAATAAAATAGCAATTATAACTGATAATAAATAAACATCATATATATTTATTATTAATTATAATATTATTAAAAATTAAATTACAACTATTATAATAGTAATAAATAAGTATCATCAAATTGCAACTAGTTACTTTATATCTTTTAATAATAGTACTTTATTTTTTTAATTATCATATTTTACATAAAAGCTTACAGTTTTATGTATATCAGTTATTTATAAAAGTATATTTTTAAATTTTGAAAAATCTAGATTTATATTTTTATGTAATTTCTGTATAATACTATATTTTTAAGTTTAATTTTTTGATTTATTTAATTTCAACTTATTTTAATTTTATTTGAAATCTTTTGCAGTTAAATATTTACTTTTATATAACTTTACATATTATATTATAAATAACTTTTCTTTAATATATTATTATTTTTTTTGTTTATTTATTACTCTTATTTTTTTAATAGAAGATTTATTTAGTTCAAATGTTAAATCATTAGCTAAAAGTTATAAATATGAATGAATTAAAAGTTTAATATTTATTATTATATTTATATAGATTTATCTAATATACACTTCCTGATCAAAAGTATTAGACCACTTTAAAATTATCATAATTTTAAATTTAATAATTAACTTTAATTTTTTAATTATAAAAATTTTAATAAGTAATTTTACATAAAAATTTTTTTATTTTATTTATAAAAATAACCTTTTTATAAAAATAATTAGTATTTAGTTAGATAACTATTACTATCTATTACAGCTTAAACCCTTCTCAATACACTTTATACTAAATTTTCTAAAATGTCTTTCAATTTCATTCTATTTTTTCTTTAAAAACAACCATTAATTCTTCAAAAATTTTTAGATATAGTTATGTTTATAAACCTTTATATTTAAAATATTCTATAGATATTTAATTGTATTTAAGTTAGGAGATTATGCAGATCATAAAATATTTGAAATTGAATTATCATATTTTCTATCTACTGCTTAATTGTTTTACCCAATGAACAGATGCATTTTATCTTAAATAATATATTCTTACTCAGTTTTCAACTCATCAGTAAAAGCAAAAGATTTTTTTTTAATTTACAATTTATTAGAAACTTGAATTAAAACTCCAATGTTATTTTTCATAAAATACCTCTATATCATTATATCTTATTTTCCTAAATTTACAGTGAAAATTAAATAATTTATATCATAATTTCATGAAGATAACATTAAATTCAATAATAAGCATCATTTTGAAATAATAAAAAATGAGATAGAATAGACAAGAATATCTATAATATTTTATTTGCTGTAGATATCTTTTCAGAGGCTAATTTTTCACCTTGTTCAAATTCAATAAGTTCTTAGACTTTTAGCACTAAAAATATATATATATATTCAAATATTAAAGCTTTTAAATATGTAAAAAAAAAATGGTTCATTTTTATGTATTTTATCAAAAGTTATGATCAATAGAATTACATCAATTTGAGTATTAAAAATTATGTGATTCAATACTTTTGATTAGGAAGTATACATTTGTAATTAATTATGAAATAAGAGATATTAAAAATACCAGAACTTTAGATAAATTAACAAAAAACTATTGCTATATTATTATAAAATTTCACTAGCAATTTATGATTTTAAAATAATTATATAGACGAATTTATATTAATACTTTTATTTTATTATTAATATTTTAAAGTTTACTTATAATTTTATTTTTAATAATTTTTATTATTTAAAATTTATTATTTTTAAATTCGCATATAATTTTGTATTTTTAATTTTTATATTTACATCTAATTTTTATGCAATTTTAATATTTTAAAAAAATAAAAAACTATAATAAATATAATAAAAATAATAATTTATTTATAAAACAAAAAAAATTTTTTTAATATTTTAAAGACTAACTACTATATTGAAACTATTTTTATTAAAAATATAATGAAATCTTAGTAAAATTGTCTTTACAATTTTGAAAAATATTTAACTATTAAGTAAAAAAAACATTGGATTTCTATAAAGTTATATTTATAATATTATGGAATTAAAAAAATTATACAATATTAATAATATTTTAATAATATATTAAATTGAAAATTTTATATTTTAATTTATTTTAAAATAATAATGTTTATTTAAATTATATATTTTTAGTACAAAAAAAAAAATTATTCTAAATCATCTTTTTCTGTTTTTATATTTTGATATCAAGTTAGAATTATGAATAAAATATTTAAGAATTCTATTATAAGTATGATCAATAATATTGTGAATTAAAAGAATTGAACTTATTATTAAGGTTAATAATAGGATTATATCATAGGAGATAGTGAGCTGCCTATATAAGATCTATTTAGAAATATTGTTAATACTTGTATAAAAATAAAGCATTAAATAACTAATTTCTCTACCTGAATAATAAATTGTGATATATCTTCAATAAATATATTGCAAAATCCTACCCAAAAGTTCTATGTTTCTGCTCTTGTTGATAAGAATGCATCAAACATCTGAAGCCTAAACAGTTTAGATAACATAAGCTAATCACCTTAATATTTATTAACGCTAGTATTGTAAGAAAAGCTGCTAGTTTTGAATGTTCTTAAAACTATCTATGAAATTGCTTATTGATACTGATTTCTAAGATTAGTAATATAAAGGTAACTATACTGTTGAAGACTATTGGGATTATAAGGCAGAAAATACTTTTTATTTGAAATAATATATAGAATAGTAAGGAACTCTGTGATCAAAGTGGATTTATGAATTCTAAAATTGTAAATTTAACTCATTAGATAACAATAATCCTTTTATATCATTACTGCTGATAACAACAAAAACTATATTTAAAATCAAATCTACAAGCATAAGAGTTATCTTGACAATTACAAAGTTCTGACCCTATAATAAAACAGTAAATACTTTAAATTTCTAAAGAATTTTAACACAAGTACGGTTAATATTTTTTAATTTTTTCACCTTATCACTAAATAAATAGCACACAAAATGACAACTTCTATTGCAACATAAATTAACTTGAGCTTGTAAATTTCCTAGAAATTTGTTTAAATAGAGATAATAAAATGTGTAAATATAACAGTTACAAATTATATATAAATATAATAGTTTAGTAAGAAACTTTATGCTTACACATCAGTTGAAAACCGTATGTGCTATCTAAATAGAATATGAAAGGCTTAAAGAAAATTGGACTTATTTCTTTGTTTTTACTAATATATTCAAATTATTAATAACTTGTTGAACAGTTTGCTTAGATAAATTATTTACACTCTCAATTATTATAGGAAATAAAATCTAATAAGTTACTTTGAGATCAGGTTGATGATATTTGCGAGTCAAAAGGTATTTTATATCAATTAGTATGACTTCAAAAAGTTCAATCAATGTCTCATTAAAAAAATTATCTTAATCAACTTTAGCGAGATTGTTAAAAAAAGTCAAACCTTCTAGAGTTAGCTGTAAT